CGGTTGTGTGGCCAAAGGGGCGGACAAAAAACAGCAGAACCCTCTACACACTGTGACACAGCAGCAAAAGGCTCTACGGGCCAGTCCCGTGGGGCAGCAGCAAAAAAGTGGCAAACACAAAAAAACGTCCCGGCCGGGTTTATGGTTTAGGATGGCTAGAGTCTCTTATGCACCCTTACGTCTCTTGGCTAAGTCACTTAATAAACGCTTGCCACTCAAAGCGCATGAAGATAGACCCAGCCCACCACCTTGAGAAGCTTTAAGGTTTAGGGTGTCGGGTTGAGGGTCAGTTTTCGAAAACTGAAGAGCTCAATCCCCTGAACCTAAGACGCTTCACAAAGCAAAGCATGGAAACAAGAAGTCTCAATATGCATGTTAAGTTTGTCGTGTGGGCATGCTGCAAGAATCGCAGAGGCGGAGAAACACAGGTGCCCAGCTGGGCTCACCTTCGGTGTCTTAACTTTCTAGATGTCTGTCTTGGAGCTGTTGTTTATTGTAGGAGCCTTGATATTGGGGGTTCCTTCTTGTAAAGCCATAGTATAATATACCCCCAAACCCTATTCCAATTTTCAAAGCCCCTATATAATTGAAGCCTACAAAAGATCCCTATCAACCCTTTGAAAAGGAACCCTACAAAAGATCCCTATCAGCCCTTTGAAAAGGAACCCTATTCTAGTGGTATTCTGTTCCTCCGAGAGCCGCGGGCTCCTCCAACGCCTGAAAAGAGACGGGGTTCCTGTGTAGTACCTTCTGCCCTTTTCAGTTTGGGTTCAGGGTTTAGGGTTGAGGTTCCTGTGTAGTACCCTTTTGCCCTTTTTAGTTTGGGCTTAGGGTTCAGGATCTCCTTGTCAGAAGTGAATATTTGAGAAAAGGGTGCCCTTATTATGAGGGGGTTGCCGAGGAACCTAGGAGTTCATTCTGCAAGCAACGGTGTCTTAAGATGTGCTGTCGCTACACGACCCGCAAGTATGAATGTTGAGTTTACCTAAGCCGACAACCTAAATTCCAAACACCATGACAGTAATAACTCAGTATTATTCTTAAGTTATAAGCTTGAAACCCAGAGCACGATATATAGACTGCAGGGCATTTGAAGCCGGGGGCAAAAGTCAAGGCATGGGCAGCAGCAGTTTTGCGGAGCATACTGCTACCTTTTGAAGCTTTTTATGTTGCAGTTGTATCTGTAGAAGTTTGTCTGGGGTTTCAGTCGGCCTGGTTCGCTCCAAGGGTCACAACTTTGGTTCGTGGCTGTGCAGAAGGCACGCCTTCCGTCAGATGTGCTTCAAGCAACTTCACCGTCCTGTTAGTGTTGATGAGCTCCGAAACCCGAACCCCAGATCTACATGGGCAGTTGTCGAAATTAGGGTCCCTTTTGGGGTACCTTGAATATTAGGTACCGTATTATCATAGGGACCCCCAAAAGGGACCATAGTTTCGACAACCACCCACATGGGAGTCGCAGAAAAGAAGGAAGCCTCGAAAAGACCTTAAGGCCCTCAATGATTGCACCCCTTAGGCAGATAGGTGGTTGTCGAAATTGGGGTCCCTTTTTGGGTACCCTAAATAATAGGTGCCGCATTATAATAGGTATCCGAAAAGGGACCATAATTTTGACAAGCACTCAGACGTCAAAACTCGAATGCGCACTTTAGCGGAAAGCCACCCCTGAACTGAATCACTAGGGTTTAGGGTTTGCCTGCGTGTAGTAAACCCTATTGAGTAGCTATGATCGAGCTTTTTCTGCGAACCTTAGAAGACCATTCTCAGACCCCCTATATAACCCTGAACCCTAGCCTGCAACCACCGTGGCCGAGCGGATCACCTTTGGATTGGCAGACTGCTACCCGCGGATTCTGGTTTCTCCGAGAGGGCACAAGGCACAGATGAGTTGAAGGGTTCCTTTCTAGGATGCCCAGTAGTACCCTTATTCCCTTTTTGTAGTCCTAGGTTCCTTATAAAGTTACCCAATACCAAAAAGAGAGGCATTTTTATTCTTGGGTTACTGGGTATCCTAGTTGAGGGATCTAGAGGGGCCCCCGGGTTCTGTAAGAAGGGTACTATCATGATTTTCTTCAAGGGGGTTTGTGGGTGTGTTAGAATATGACTATAGGAATAGTAGCTGTAATCACTCAAGAGTGTTTGGGACTCCTTACATCAGCCAAAAATCCAAAGTAACCCTTTAATAGAATGTAGGGTTTCCATATTCGGAGTTTCTAATGATGATTTGGAGAAGTACATTCCCCATGACAGTACCTAGGACCCTTTGGGTTAGCATGCTTCCGAACTACAGCCCTGGATAGTCCCGAACAGCTTGAGGGATGCATGCAGACGTGTGGTCTTAAAAAGCTGATCCGGAGCCCTAAACCCTAATTATCCTACCTTTTTAAAGGCGTATGTGAGGAAGTCATATTCCGGAAGTATGGGTTTTTGGGTGTTAAGGAAAGCCTTATGTCAGCGGCCTTACGCCTGTCTGAGTTGAATGCCGTCCTCATCGACTGCCGCAACGACTTAGATGTGGTGTTGGGGAGGATCAAGGTTCAGGGTTGAGGATTTAGGGGTTTAGGGTTTTGGGTTCAGGGTTTAGGAGCCATAATTATGCTCGAGGCCCCAAGAAGAGGCCCGCCCATGCCCTCTTGCGAGAAGAATGGAGAGCATAGCAGCTCGCTCTCTCACACAGATTGCATATCAGAGCCGCGATGCTTGTACGACGGCGGCATAGAGATATGTGTATGGAGACAAATGCGAAGAATACCAGTGACATCGACGAGGTGCTGTGCTTGCGGTTGATGATCTACATCCTGCATTACCTTAAGGACCCTAAACTATGGTAATTATGGTATATTCCTCATTATGGGTAATGCAGGATTTCTATCATCAACCGTTGTTTCATAAATTCAGCGTGAAATGCTGGGCCTTTCAAGAAGGGTGCTTAGAGATCCAGGCACCCGGCCGACCGGCTGACACCACACGGCGGGTTTCAGAAAGTGATGGGCCCTAATGTCGGCCTTCAGAAGTATCCCTTAGAAGCTGCCCCCACCCTGTAATAGTGACTATAAGGATTATATTAGGGCCCTATTATATTCCTATTATACCACTATTACAGGGTGGGGGCCCCTTCTAAAGTATGCCCAAGAAGATCCTATGTATTTGCACCATGGAATTAGGTGATGTACTCTTCTGAAACCCCTCACATACTGCAGGACGAGGGCCCGCAGAGAGTTTAAAGCATGGGCTAGCCTGTGGCGGAGGAAGTAGCTTTGTTCCGCTAGGCTCGGTAAATAAATCGCATTCTGCGCAGATCTTACATGGCAGGGCATGGGTTGCCTCACATCCATTCTCTATGGGAAACGAAATTGCGAGGGAACATCATGCTCAAAGAAGACATTTCGAGAATCCAGCAAGACCCTGCACATGCCCGGCGCCCCGAACGCATTGCATGCAATGGTGCAGTGCACGCCTCTGGAGCTACTCCATTCAGAGAAGAGCGGCTGAAAGTGAGACTGCAAGCACCATTGCCTTAGAGGGGTTCGAGGGTTTGGCATGGGGGCTTTACTAATATAATATAGGGGCCTAAATAATCACCAATGATATTTGGGGGCTTCCTTATTATACCTATCGTATAATATACCCCCCCAAACCCTATTCTAATTTTTAAGGCCCCTTTATTATCCAGTTCCACCGCAAATGCAAGACTCCACCGACCTAGGCCGGAAGGTATCGAGGCAGTTCTTCGGAGATGGGCGTCCAATTCCTCCCTCGGTCAGCCTTTCTGACTTAGTTTAAGGGCTAATAATTACCTATACCATTGGGGGGTTACCCTATTATGATTATAGTATGATGGGCCCCAAAACCTTATTTTAGTTATTAGAGCCCCTATATGTTTTCTTTGGCTCTGTTTAGTATGGTTCCCGGGCCCATAAAACACTCCATAGAACTATCTGGCATTTCTTCTAGATGGCGCCACTGAGTGCATTGAAGTAATGAGTATGCATCACACCGGATGCCATGCCAATAAACCCGACCTAAGACAACCCCCACCAGAATCCTTCAAGCACCCCAAGGCACACCCATCAGACCTTATACTCTACCTAGAGGTATGAGCTTTTTCAGTGGGCCTCCTCTTTTGGATAACAGATCCTAACCACAAAACTGGGTATCCTAGAACAAGGCGTATATAGAGTATGAGCCTCTACTTAAAGGATCATGGGACTTAGTAATTAGGGTTATTATTAAGGTAACTATACTTATAACCCCAATTAAGGTACTTATAACCATACTTACTAAGTCCCATGATCCTCCAAGTAGGTATGAAGCCTTCATGAGCCCCTTGAGGCAAGCCCAAACGGCTGCATGTCAGCGTGGTTTTGGAAACTCTAATTCCAAGGGTAAAAGGAGGGACCTTAGAAGCTGCCCCCACCCTGTAATAGTGGTATAATAGGAATATAATAGGGCCCTAATATAATCCTATATAATCCTTATGGTCACTATTACAGGGTGGGGGCAGCTTCTAAGAGGGACCCTAAGTATATACCCTTAATATAGCTGTTATATGCCCATGAAATAGCCCATGAGAGGGGAGGGGTCCCCATTAAGGGTCCCTCCCTGTCCCCATTGATTACTGTCTACCTTTCAACGGGCCTGGGGTCAGCTTCGTGGTTTACCGGTTCAGGGTTGTTGATGTAGGCCATAAACGAGCCCTAAACTCGTATAAGACTCTAAAACCTATTCCCGAATTCCGCAAACCCTGAACCCTTTTTCTCTCGTGTGAGAAAACACCAGGCACCAGGTGTTGAATTACCAGAGATGAACCCAAAACTCCGATTCCTCAACCCTCATGAGCCACCCCTGGCTGCCTACCTCCCCCTTAGCCCTCGGTCAAAAGAAAACCTAAGCCAAACCTCAATTCTTTGCACCCTAAGCCCTAAAACGCGTCGAAACTTCAAGAGGCTAAACCCTAAACCCTACAAACCCTAAGCCTCAAACTCGCAGAGCCGGCTAAGGCGCGAGCTCTTCGAAATGTCGGGTCTTCCTGTTGCTGAGCTCTCCCACATATGGCAGGAGAGAGAGGGCTTGTAGAGGGCTGCGGATCTGTTCCGTACACTCATATAGGGGCCTTAATAATTAGAATAGGGTTCCTTTGAAGTGGTCTATGAGGTGTATAAGGGATCTTTAAGGGTACTATAGTATAGGGGCCTTGATAATTAGAATAGGGTTTTGGGGCCCACTCTGCTGTAGTTAGGATGAACCCCCAAAATAGTATGGCCCTTTTCTTAGGACTTCGACGTTGACGAGGGTTCAGGGTCTCAGGGTGTAGGATGCGCGGTTGAGGGCTGCAAGTGTTTCGGGTTTCGGTTTCGAGCTTCAGGGTTTATGGTGTGGGACTGAGGTCGACTCCGGGCAATGTAATGTACACCGTTTAGGGTTTAGGGTTTAGGGGGTTTAGGGTTGGAAACGACCGCGGCACCTCCTGTCAGAGTGATCGTGGTTTTGGAAGTACAGTCTGTTGTGGCCCAGGCTGACCGAGCTACTCCATCACTCTTTATCCATATCCTTGGTCCTGAACCCTAGATACTGAACCCTAACCCCCTAAACCCCGAAACCCAAAGCACTTAAGCCCGAAACCCAACGCCCTTAAGCCCGAAACCCTAAGCCCTACATCCAACACTGGGTACATTGGCCCTAGCCGCCCTAGGCCGGACCTTGAGTTTCAAGAGCATGCACGCCCACAAACTGTCGGGTTGAGGTTCAGGATTTAGAAAAACTCTCATCTTTCCCGGCTCAGGTGTAACCTTCAGGGGTTTTGAGACGAGTTGGAGTTTCTGTTAGGGTTTAGGGTTTGGGGGTTTAGGGTTTTGGGTTTAGGGGTTTAGTGTTTAGTCGGCTTAGGGTTTTAGGGGTTTAGGGTTGAGATGTTTAGGGTGCCAGATGGTGGTTGCATCATCTCTCGAACTCTGTCTCCCAATATTTCGATCGCCAGCCGTAAAACCCTACAAACCCAGACCCGAAAGTATGAAGCTGGTTATTGAGGGTTCTGAGATCATTATAGTATCCTTATGGGAGGGGGCTCCAAGGGGGGTAGGTAACCTACTAATCCCTAGTTCTCTCCAGTGCTAAGGCTCCCTTCAGGTTCCCTAAGGATCCCTTGTACCCTCCCCCCTTGAACCACCCTCCCTTAAGGACCCTATAAGATCAGGACTTGGACGGATTTCAGGGCTTTAAGTCTTTCATGTATTGGGGCTCTGCGAGATTCAGCTGCGCAAGTTCAGGGTTTAGGGTGTAGGGTTCCTTAGAATATCTGACCCTATGACACTACAAGTTGCCTCTACGCCAAAATTTCATTACCCAGGCCCGAACCCTGAAGCTCACCATTTGGCTTTGTGGAACTGTGCAGCCACCAGTTCGTAATCAGCTGCCTTCACCGAGCAAAAACCGACGTCGTTGGTGGCCGCTCATGTTTACAAGGTGAATCTGCGGAAGTATATCAGATCCAGGTAGAGCTGAATCAATCATGAGTACCCAGGATGCTGGAAGTAATCCCTAACATCCAGAAAGCCGTAAATCCTGCGAAGCTTCTGTACACCCCCGTAAACCGCTTCCTTGGAAAATGCCGTGAGCCTGCCGCCAGCTTTGCGACATGGACCGGGACGGCTCGTTGACTTTTGTGGAGTTTGCCTGTGCCTGGGCTGAGGTTAGTTCGGAGCAGGACATGTTCGACTTCAATGTATCATAGGGTAGCGTTGCATTTCGGGCGTATAGGGTTGCCTTTCAGCAGAAACCCTATGAACCCTAACTAAATCCTAAATTTGGCCGCAAAGCCACGGTTAGCAACGACAACAGTCTGCCTTTCGTGAGCTGAGCTGCTGCATGTTTGCCAAGGTTTCGGAGGTTTAGGGTTTAGGGACATCATGTCCCTGAACCCAACAGGCCTTAACTACAGTACTACAAGAATCGGTTGTCCTCTGGTAGCCGCTTCAGTCAGCACTCCAACTGCCCCCAATCAAATCACGAAGTGCATTTTCTATAAACAGGTAGTTACATGCGTTGACTCCCAATGGAAATCGCATACCCAAGCCGAACCAGCAAGCCTTCTTACGGACCTTTCGGAAAAGTTCGGTCTTTCCAAAAGGTCACTTTCGTTTCGTTAAGTGTGTATATATGTGCCTTATACCGGTACCTATGTCCATATATATATATATATATATATATATACACACACATAGAGCACCAAATATGTACGCATACTGACTTGTTCATTTGTTGTTTGTGTTGAATTGAAAGTTTCTTAGCCCCAAACCCCGAAACGCTTAATCCAGTCTGTTGCACACGGGTTGGTCTTAAGGTGCCATGGCCATCGTCGCGAGGCTCGGGCATGCAAAGCGAGGGTCATGATGGGGGTTCCTTTAAGGGCCTAGCGGGTTCCTTGAGGAGTTCTGTTAAGGGTATCTTTAGGGGTTCAGGGTTCCTTTCAAGGGTTCCTTTAAGGGCCACTATAAGTTTTTGAGGGGGTGTGTGTCTATGAGAGATACTATAAGAATGCCAGGTAGAGGTTCTTGAGCGCTCTGCCCTATACCCTGAACCCTTTGTCCAGGTGGCCGAAAAGGTAGCTGCGCCTGCCGAGGAAGCCTCACAGTTCCACAGGCTGTAGAATAACCAGGTACGAAGACATGAATGACGGTTACGATGCTCCACCCCCCCCCCCACCCACCATGGAATGTGATCAGCAGATCTTGATGCAAGAGTAACAGCTTCAATCTAGAGATATGGTGGTTGCAACGAGGGCAGTATTAGTAACAGTCTATACATAAGTACCAGTAGTGGTCGCTGGTAGGGGTACAGTAGTCGCCGTCGGCGATGACGACTACTGCTACACCGCCACAATCACTATCACCACCGCTACGACGACTACTACTTTTATTACTTGTACTACCACTTCTACAACTTTTACGACTGCTGCTACTACGACTACTACTACTACTGCTGCTGCTGCTGCTGCTGCTGCTGCTGCTGCTGCTGCTACTGCTACTGCTGCTACTGCTGCTGCTGCCACCGCTGCTACTGCTACCACTACTTTGCTGCTACTGCTGCTACTACTACTACTACTACTACTACTACTACTACTACTACTACTACTACTACTACTACTACTTATTACTACTACTACTACTACTACTACTACTACTACTCCTACTCCTACTACTACTACTACTACTACTACTACTACTACTACTACTACTACTACTACTACTACTACCAAAAACACTACTACTGCGGCTGCCGCTTCCATTTCTACTGCTACTCGTACCTCTACGACCACGACGACGGCGACTGCACTGCTGCTGCTACTGCCGGTGCTATCTGCCACCCTAAACCCTAAACCCTAAGCCCTAAACCCTAAACCCTAAACCGCCGCAAAACAAGAGCCCAAGCGCCCGAGCCGTGGATCCGAAGGCGTCGCCGTGGTGGACCCGTGCCATCCGAAGTGCCCATAGCTTTGCAGAGGCGTTGGGGGGTTTAGGGTGTTTGCGGTGGGTTTAGGATTAGGGTTAGAGTTTAGGGTTTAGGTATCGGGTAGATTTGGGGTTTGGCAGGCCTATGATTCTGGGGTTTTGGGCTTGAGTCGAGGGTTTTTTGGGGTTTAGGGTCTGAACATGTCTGGACGATTTGGAATGGTGCAGCTTTTCGATCGACAGATCTGAGGCGTATGCTTTTATTTCAGCTTGGCTATAGGAATAGATTCCTCGCGTTGAAATCTGTTTTGGGGTGTCGCGCGCAGCTGCTAGAATGGGGTAACAAGGTCGAGCCTGACACGACCTCGTGCAGAACCATCTCATGCCGCAGCCACCGGTGCAAGAGGAGGAGTCGTTTGTCATTCCTGCACGAAAGCACAGCACCAAATTCACATCCGTCACAACACAGACCCTTGTGCGGCCATGCAAAATCCCGATGAAGTTTCGTGAACCCTTTACTTCCCTGTACAATTTGTATTATCGGCACTCTTACTGTTGGCGTAGGGCTTAAAGGGTTTTCGGCTTTCGGTGTCGTGGCCACTGCTCGAACAGCACCAGATTTTCAGGTCATATTCAATGCATGCTTAGAGCAATGCAGCAAGACCAGTCTTGCTTTCCAGCAAACTTCCGACTAATGGTATTGTCCTTGGGGTTTCGCTTCGAGCATTTGGCCTTCCCAGAGTACGCGCAGGAACCCCGAAGCCCCTAAACCCTAAACCCTGACCCCGAAGCCCTGTCTGCAAATGACTGTAGGTTTTTTCTATCGAGATGTCTTTACGAAGGAAGATCCTGGTCTCTTACGGGTTCATAGCAGGCCTAAACCGCCATAGATCCCTTATAATTAGATCCCTTTAAGGAGCCCTCTACAAGTTACTAACTCCCATGATCCTTTAAGTATCTCCTCCCCGTTCAGCAAGGGAACTGCTGGCACTGCTCCGGTTTGGCTGAGCACCTTATCTCGCCCCAGCCCTGAAACCGTAAGCCTCGGCTACGAGTCCGCAGTATAACAAAGCGGCCGTAATAATAACCTATACTAGTTTCAGGGCTCCTTGTTAGTTCTATTTATAGTGCACTGGGTCCCAAACCCTATTCTAATTATGGAGGCTTCTATGATATTATACCGAAGGGTTGGCCTGGTAAAGAATTCGTCTATCTTTGCGGGTTCGACATTTCGTCTGCTTGCTTGGGCTGAACCTCAACATTTGGGTTGCAGGTTCCCGATAATGTCAGTAAGGTTAACTAGGATGCCCAGTAGTACCCTTAGGGATCTATAAGGGTTCCTTAAAGGGATCTATAAGGGTTCTATAAAGGGTTTAGGGTTTCCGAAAATTAGGGATTAGGATGCCCAGTAGTACCCTTCTTCCCTTTTTGTAGTCCCAGGTTCCTTATACAGTTACCCAATACCAAAAAGAGAGGCCTTTTTATTCTTAGGTTACTAGGTATCCTAGTTAAGTAAGGGTTTTGGGTTCACAGGGGCTGACGAAAGAGTCTAAGCTCTTACAATTGAAACACCCTATATCCTAGATACGGAAAAGCTCCAAAGCCCTTGTAGAACACCGAATTAGTTTTGTTGGTAGGACCCTGTGAACAAGAAGGCAAGATCGCCGTAAAACCTGCATAAGCCCCGATAAATCAAACTGTAGAAGTCAGGGTACACCCCAAAACCCTTGACCCCATAAACCCAATGTAAACTCTTATAAACCTCCGGATAAACGGCCCAAAGCACAAAAGCACCCTAAACCCTAATCCCCAAACCCTAAACCCTCAAAGGCCCAAACCCTCGGCCACGCTTTGTCTCACTCTACGAGCCTGGGGCTAGCGTGCTTCGGAAAAGTCCGCTAACGTAGGTTAAAAGAAAACCTTAAACAACAAGCATCGACGCAAGGGCCGCTGCTGAGTTCGCGCCCTCGGGGCCGAGTGAGGCGGAGCCACGCTCTCGGATCAAACCCAAAGTTTCGGACGTGGGGCTAATGTAGGAACCTGATGAAGAAACCTTGGGCCTTTGATTATCAGGGTTCCTATTGAAGGGGTCTAGAAGAGTTACTCTAAGGGTACTATATTAATGTAGGAACCTGATTAAGAAACCTTGGGCCTTTATTAGGGTTTCTTGTATGAATCCTACTTTGTTGGGGGTTATGGCCCAGGGTTTCCGAATCAGGTTCCTACATTACTGTTAGGGCTTCTTTTATCGGTTTAGGGTTTGGGGTTATGGAGCTGTATAAGAGTTCCCTTTTAATGGGTACTGTAGGGTTCTATAATAGGGTTCCTGGGTGGTACCCTTTTGCCCTTTTTAGCTTCGGTTCTCCTTGTTGAATCTGAGTCTTATTACAAACGGTTACCATTTCTTATTGTGGAGTTACTGAGGAACCTAGGCTCCTTTATGGATCTGTATACGGGTTCCCTTGAAATGGGTACTAAAGGGTTCTATAACAGGGTTCCTTCTAAGGGCTCATTCAGGGGCAAATTATTACTCTTAGAGTGTTAGGGTTTGGAAGTTTACGAGCTGTTACGGCCAAGGTATAGAAGAGAGGGCTTACATCAGGGTTTGGGACTTTGTTAAAGGCCTAGACTTGGGAATTTAGGATGTATTTTCGGGCTAAGAGTTTGGGATCCGCAAGGTTCGGCTTCGGACTTGTTTTTGATTATGTCTGTATGTCGTCTTTGAGGCTTAAGACTGCATAGGCTTGTTTGGGTTTCTGCTGTGCTCATTTGGGACTCGGTTTCACGATTATGTAAAGTTTAGGGTCTGTTGTTCGGGGTTCAGGGTTGTGCAAGGCCTACGTGTCGAGGCCTTCGGGCGATCTTGCCTAAACTTTTCATTTTGTCCAGATTCCAGGTTTTGTTTTCTGTATGCACTCCGCAAGGCATCCGGCCAGCGCTGTTGCAACAGGTATTTCTGAACTCGTCACCTTTATTTAAACGCCAAGATCCTGGAATCCTGAACCCTATACCCTGAACCCTCAACCCTAAAACCCTATAAACCCTATGGCTCTAAACTCTCAACCCTAAACCCTGAGACCTAAGGCTCGATGGCTATCGTCGGCACTACCGGCAGCTGGACCCTTCGCAGTCCGGCCGTGCGGATATCGCTGCTACCAAGGCTACGTTTTGGGGGCTCGGGTTTTTTGGGTTTTTATAGGGTTTAGGGCTTATAGGGTTTATAGGGTTTATAGGGTTTAAGGTTTAGGGTTTAAGGTTCAGGGCTTAAAAAGGTTTAGGGCTTTTTGGGGTTTAAGGTTTAGGGTTTGGGGTTGAAGGTTTCTCGGATTCGGGTCTGGGGTCTGAGAAGCTTCGGGGATTCCGCTTTTGGATTTTGGGGTGTTCGGGCTGGGTCCGTGCTGAGGTTTGCAGTCAAAGTGTCCCGTCTTTTGTCATGTGGGTGGTTGTCAAAATTTGGGTCCCTTTTTGGATCCCTATTTTGTACGGCACCTAATATTTAGGGTACCCAAAATGGGACCCTTAATTTTGACAACCACCCATGTGTCTCCTCAAGCCTTAAATAACTCCCAACTGATCAACAAACCCCCAAGCCCTGGTAAAACTCTTGTGGAACCCTTTCAAAGCCGTTGCAGAACCCTTCCAAAGCTTTTTCAAACCTAAGAGGCCTTAAATCCCAAACTAGTGGTAGTAGTAGTAGTAGTAGTAGTAGTAGTAGTAGTAGACCTCCAAGCCCCAAACCCAAAGTTCTAAACCTTGTAAGTCCCGGGGCCCAATCTGCCCCAAACCCGAAATCACAGACCCTAGGCCCTGAATCCTAAACCTTTTGCTGCTTCAATTGCATTGCTAGGTAGGGCTTTGGGACATTTTATATTTTCCCTGATTGGGCTTAAGAAGATCTTATTTACTAATATTTTTCAATTGCTTTAAAAGCCCCACCTAGATTGCGTTGAGCCTTCCACCTTGTGGTTTATGCTCAGCTTCTGGATTCAAGCACGCCAGCCGCGCCATTCCATGCACAGGCCGGGTGCTGATGCATCGAGCCCTTTTAGAAGC